GCCTGTAAGCAGGCTTCTTCCCGGATTTCTACTGGGGATTTGAGTGCCTTCGCATACCAGACTTAAAGTATTAAAACATAAATATGAATGGATTTCTCTGAGAAATGAATATGGGCAGGCAGTTTAGGCACTATGTTGTAATGGATTTTTAGAACTATTTGACTTGGTGCTGGCTGATTTAGTAGTTTGCCAGAAATAGTCTGAGCAGAAACAACGGGAAGGAAGGTTTAGAAGCAGAGACTAATAGGTGGTGGTGTGGAAATTGCTTGGGAGTTTTGCTGAGAATGAGAGTTGTGGCAGGTGTGGGCTTTTTGTTTCTTTAAAAGTGGTTTAAGTACTTTAGCAAATGTGCTTTAGGTACATATACACAAATGTCCATAGGTACCTAAGGTCCACAGGTACCTATGTATACACGTATGTACCTATATATACACATACACGGATGAACATAAGGTCACCCTCCCATACAATTATTCATGAATGGGAGGCTTCTTCAACCTAGACACGACACCCTTTTTTCTTCTTTTTTAAAGACAGGACAGGACAGACCCTGCAGCGAAAGAGCTGAGCGCGTGTACCAACGGCACATGCCCCTTTTGTACCTTTATTGGTTACAAACCAACTTTCAGACCTGGTCCACTGGCCTGCAGTTCTGCCAACGGGAGCAAAAGATCCGTTTATGGTTACTGCTATTACAGCATACATTAACTGACCCTCGGAGTCTGACCTGCTTGCCCTCCTGCTTAGTGAGTCAATAAGAAAATCCTCTGGCTCTGCATGACTTGCTAAGACCTCAGACCTTCCATGCAGAATACGGTCTATCCAGAGAGGGAAAAACAAGGTGCCACTCCAGCTGGTAAAACAAAGATATTTTTAAAGTGCAGTCAGTAGAAACAGTCACTCGTATTCCATGTATAATCAAGGATGAAAAGGCCACGAAAAATACCACTGCGCTTTGCAAATGAGAGGTCAATTGAAATGTCAAGATATCAAATGTTAATGGATTGCATTTCCAATGATGGTTGGGACAGAAAACCATACCAAGTCAAGTCAGATGCCCTTCTGAGGAGAAGATGAGTTTTATGGCAGGAAAAGACAATAAACACCAGAAGTCTTTCTGGTTAACAAACTTGTGGCTGATGGAAAACAAATATATTTTGAAAATATAAAAAGCAGCGGGATTTTAACACAAGCTATAATCCCCAACTATGTTTCTGGAAGTCATTAAATCTACAGCAAATTTAAGCATATGCAGGTGTTTTGGGAAAACGCCATTGCTTTCTATTGAAGATTTTTAAAGGGACTAGAAAAGAAGAGAGTACAAAGGACACTCAAGGAAGGCAATGTTTTCTTCCCTGAAGCAAGAAGTCCATTCCAATATTCTCACAGTTCTACAGCAGTTCACGGGCTACATGGACCACTCTTAGAAGCATTCATTTTCCATTTTAAAAATCTAATTTTGCTCTTACAAAACTGTCGTATTACGTAGTGTTGGATGACATCAGGTTTTAGCCAAATCATTCTTTCACCTGCCCATATTTTCCTAAGGAATCAATTTTGCCATTTTCATAAAGGACTGTAATCTGAAACATTTATTTAGTGTGACATTATATCCAATCCTTAGTCAGAAGGGGATTGCCATGCAAAGAACTCATCTCTTTAATACGGAAAAAGGTGAAAAGAAATTGGTTATCTTCCTAACCACTATCTCTGCGCAACTAGTAGACACAGAGCCTTCCTTTCCCAATTGTGGAGAGACTTGCCTTGTGTCTATAGTAGCTCACTGGTGGCCTAACACACTTAAGAGGGAAAACAGCATCGTTAGTGGCTTTTGAGTAGGAAGACTCCTTGGTCTATACAACAGAGATATGTAATATCAGGAATGATGAACGGTGGGTAATCATTTGCTTTTTTGTGCAAGAATAACTGCTTGTGTGGATTCCAGTGAACATATGAGAAAAAGAGTTTTAAACAAACAAAAGAAAGTATCTTTTTGCATACTATGGTGCTCAATGCCACAGGATGTTGTGGGGACAAGAAGTATAAACAGAATATAATATTCTGTATAACAGAACAAAAAAGAACAGTAAATTTCCTCTCAAACATTAAACGAGCCACATTAATAAACTGAGCAATGAAAAGTAAATAGACCATTTCTACAGAAATCTTCGTCATGCTCCTAAACTAATAAGTTAGACAGTGGCACTATTAGGCTCTGTCCAAGGACTCGACATAAACCACGGTCTTTAAAAGGGAGATTTCTGATTCCAGTTTTGGGACACAAGAACTATGTCAACACAATGCAAAAACAAGGAAATTTTTCATGCTATTGACAACTGTGAATATTTTGTATATATTTATATATGTAAAAAAAGATATATATTGTAACAGATGTCAAAAGCAGTTAGATTCAAGTCAACTTATCAGTGTATGGCTTTTAGCCAAAAGCAATTCACATTTGCAGAAGTGTACTATCACATAAGTCTTAATAACAGAAATGTGTTTTTAAAAATGTATGTGATAAGTCACATATGGTAGAAGGAATCTGTACAGCTTTCAGCCCTATGACAATGGAAGTTGCTAACTTTATTTTGCATAGCTGAAGAATATTAAAATTCATGTGAAATTCTCTCTGACATCTGAGAGCTAGAAAAGCAATGACTAGAAGCTAGACAAGCCTGAGCTGTACTAATTGTGGCTGTGACACTTACATAAATGCAATCCATATCTGCTACTGCTGTCTTAAAGACACTATTCTTACTTTTGGCCTGAGAGGTAATATTTTAGCTTACAATCATAATTGTATACAGGTACCTTAAGTAGTTACATCACTGAAAAATACTAGGCAGATTTTTCAGCTGTTTTGTTATGCAGAGTGTAATTAATATGTATAATGGATTCCCCAGGGTACTAATTGAAGCTGCCACCATGAACATAGTCAAAGAGAAGTTAAACAACCAGTTAGGGGAAACATGACAGGGTGAAATATGCACATGTAGGTGGAAAGAGAGAGACTGTCCATTTGGCCTGCTTCCATTCCAAAATGTTACACTTACTCAAGTCCCATAAAGGAATGTTTTGACCTAAATCACCCTTTCCCCCTCCACTCTCAAATCTTTCTGGTGGATTCATTCATAGAATCATAGAATGGCAAAGGCTGGAAGGGACCTCAGAGATCATCTAATCCAACCTCCCTGTCATGGGCAGGGATGCCTCTCAACTAGATCAGGCTACTCAAGGCTCCGTCCAACCTGGCCTTGAACACCTCCAGGGAGGGGGCATCCACAGCCTCTCTGGGCAATTCATTCCAAAGTCTTACCACCCTCGTACTGAAGAATTTCTTCCTAAAATCTAATCTAAATCTGTTCTCCTTCAACTTAAACCCATTTCCCCTTGTCCTATCAGTGGACACTCTTGTAAAAAGTCCCTCCCCAGCCTTCCTGTAGGTTCCCTTCAGGTATTGGAAGGCAGCTATTAGGTCCCCCGGACCTAGTAAGGACACTATTAATTGGGCATCAGTGTCACATACACGCTGTTTAACGACTGTAAGGCTCAATGTCTCTGTTATATGTGGGAAACCTCAATTCAGTTAAGCCATTCCTGAGAATTTGACTCAAAATATTTTTAAAAAGGTGAATGAATGATAAATGATTATTTTGGAGTTGTTCCCAGGACGCTCATCACATTGCAACTCCTGGATCCTCTAGAATGTGAGGTAAAAACATAGCCCATTTCACGCTCTCTATTAACCACCAGCTAACAATGACTTTAATTCAGCTTGCACTGAATGTGAACCAGCCCTATAGGCAAGAAAGGTCCCTTGTCTTATTAGAAGTTTCATGTGCTATCAGGTCCCTGCTGGATCCTATTTCTAATTTTTATCAGATTGAATGAAACATAAAGAGAGAGTGAATTGTGACTATCTTGCATCTTACCTAATCACTCCAAGGAGCCTTCATACACATTTTGCATTCACTTTAAAAGGTGTAAATGACTATACATGAAGGAAGCCAAGTGAGAAGTAGAGCTGTATTCTTTTGTTACGTGTGCTAAAACACAATGATTTGTGAGTCCTGTCAGTGCATGTTCTTACAAATATAAAACCATTCCATTCCAAAAGCCAGCACGATCAGCAAACTACTATGAAAATACGAACATTTCCTCTGTCTGTAACAGGAATATACAGTTACTGGGACTTAGTTAAACTGCAATGATCACCTACTGAAGCTAAAAATATGTGTTTTATTGGTACATAAGAGCCCATTAAGACTGGAGTATTCATTATTTAAACAGAATCACTGATTGCTGGTAGCTTTAACTGAAAACGCCTTTTCTCAAAGAGCCAGGACATCTATATAGCAACTTTCTTAATTCAATGATATATGGTTGAGTGTTGCTGCTAGTGCCCTAAGATTTAAGAACTTCTCATAAAATGCCCTGGAAATTGCTCCCTGGTAGCTTGCTCATCCTTCACAGAGCCCTGTTGTAAAGAGCAGAAACATACGTGTGTGTATGGTGTGAGAGAGACACTCGCACAGAGTGAGAAAGAGCTTTTAATCAACAGGATGGCAAAGCCTTGATACATAGGTGCAAAATATTCCCATGTGTCTAGAAATCATTTGGCACATTCCTAGTTACTTCCCCCCTGTCAGACCTTCTCAAGGATTGCAATTAAAAATAATAATCTTTTTAGCATGTACAAACCTCCCCAAGGCTAGGAGCACTATGTATTGAGTATGACTGTGATATTATTTGGCAGCTATTCATAGACAACACCTTAATTTATGGAAACTGGATGAAACTTGGGGAGTGTAATCATTAGGGACACATGAGAAATCGAAATCTTTCCTCAATGATACTGACCTTTTTATAGCTATGATTAGGGGCAACTTGAATTCTATTATCTCTTATCACCCTGCTTACTGTCCCAGTCTTTCTCAAGATTGCATACAACAACTCCGTTAATTTTGCATTTTCAAACGGATATAAAAATAACTTACTTTACAGGAATGTTTCTCAATTTTGTCTTTTCAGCAGCCTGTAAACAGAAGAGGGGTGGGGGAAACAAACGGTCAAGGAACACACCGAATCATAACCAAGCCGCAAGCAAACATCAACCCGCGGATGCTCTTCGGAAGCTGCAGGAGCCCGACCCTTTTGGAGAGATTGTGCTACAGGTTTTAAAGCCTCCTGCCCCAGTTTGAGATATCGGTGTGGTTTGTTTATTTTTAATGGCCACGAGTGTTTAGGAACTGCTCATTCAGGGCGATTACTTCATTTCCCGCTCCAAGGTCTGGCCCCTTTGTCACAAGCTATCTGTCCATATCTGGAACAAGAACAACAACAGGAAAAAATAAAGGGAAGAATGGACTCAGTTTCCAAAACAGTTTTTATTCGCCAACAACAGAAAAGGGCAAAGGATGACCAAATGTTCAGATCAATTTCCTCTTGTGAAACCTTTGAGAAAACACACTCCAAATCATCTAAATGAGTAAATCTTTGGGCCTCTCGGCCTGCACCACCTCAGACATGGAGCCTGGTTCCAGTTTATTGCTGAACCCATTGATCTGTGTACAGTCCATTTATCATTCATGAAAAGAGCCAGTGATCTTCACAGTATATTAGAAGAAACAACTCAGATCATCTGTCAACGGCCCTCTTATTTCTGTTTCCCTCTCCACGGGGATTTCATCTCCTTCGATTCTTCTTGAATTAAAATGTTGCTAAGCAACACAGCTGGGGGCACCGATGGCAGAGCCGCACCAGTCTATCACACTGGTTAAGCTGCTCGAGATTTTAGCGGAGATTTTTTTTTTTTTTTAATGCTTCTATGGCATAATTATGTAATCTGAACCCACCTTGCATCCCCTCTCTGTTTTTTTTTCCGAACAGGTAAATAACGTTTTGATGCAAGAGGGCTTGAAATATCACCTTCAGATAAACTAGAGTTGTCGTATCATGTCAGAGAATCCCTCCTAGCGCTTGCAGAACCAGACTGCAACAGATTTACATGCGGAAAGCGGTCAGATGGTTAGTGAGATTACAAGCACGGATAGCGGTGAAAGGCAGAATTAAGACAACTGATCCATAAACCTATTACAGTAAGGAAAGTTCTAGTGCTTAATTACCTTCCGAGATATTTTTATAAAGCCTACCAAAACTGAACAGAGGAGTTTTGGTGAGGAACTTTAACCTCTGCTATGCTTAGCAATGGGAATAAAATGGTTCCCATATAGGAGCTGCTAATATTAGTGGTCCTGAAAAACGCTCACATAAGCCCTTGAGGAATTAAATCCTTTATGTAAACTGACCAACATTTGAAACCTCTGGGACTCGCACAACTGGGTTCCAGATTTTGCCAGAATGAGTTTTCCTTTGGGCTTTACAATGGGGGTAGTTTTTCAAAATACCTGCTGTTTTAGCACTTCTGCTTCCAATCACAGCAAAGATAAAATCTGTACTTAAATCAATGGAAATCCCTGATAATGAGTTTAAAATTTGGGAGAAAGAATATAGAGCTCGTGAGAGCTGAGAGGGGGCAATAGCAATCCTCTGGGTTGGCTCTCAGAGTGCGAAGAAAAATGTGTTTGTTTCATTCGGATTATATTTTCCATCCAAAGAATAAATCAATGAATGCATGATAGGAAACAATTATATTAATTGTATGGTAGGGTTGCTAAATAAAACACTTAAACCTCAGGAAATGCTAAACTTAAGATTGCACAAGTAAGTGTTACAGACTCAAACCTAATCATGGTCTCTCAAACAAGCCTATGACGAAATGAGGTCTCTACCTCATTAGTGAGATAATGTGAGTTGTGTCTCTTTCCAGTGATACTCTTCCACATCTCCCTTTTTCAGCTGCCACGTGTAAACACAGAGTCAGAACCATGTTATTAAGAAATCTGAGTAATAAACTACATGTAATGACACACAAATACTTCATTTAAAATGGATTAAAATGCCATCAAAAACAGCATTTCAGTTTTCCAAGCCTCTCACTAAATGCCAAGTTTCACTACCATCCTGCAAGGAACTGAAACTACTTTTAAAGCTCATAAACAGCATTCCACAATGGCAGAAGTTTTTTTGGCTGTACAGTGATATTTTGCTTGACCGTTCTATATACCAAATAGCTGGACTATAACAATTCTCAGTTCAGGCATGTGAGACTTGAATACAAATCAGCTTTTACTTCCACTTGAATTATTCAAAAATCACCACACAAAAATTAATTTCAAAATATAGATAAAGAAAAGGAAAACAGAAGAGTAGAGAGTGTCTAGGATCACAAGTAAATAATAATAATGCAGTTGATTCTGACACAAAGTAAAGTAGAAGATATTCTGGAGAGCATGTGCACAATGGTATGAACTAAACTGTTTACATGAAACATAAAGAAGATGAAGACATTTCAGGGAGCAAGAACTGGCAATGTCAAAGTCATAGAATATTAAAGAGCAGAGTCTAAACTGGACGTTTGATTTTTGACTATTTAGCTATATTGATAGCAACTGTTTACCCTGAAAGAAACATCTTAGCTTTAGGAACAACGAATTATAGATATATTTTATTTTCTTGGACCATGAATATTCTAGCATATATCTTTCTTTAGATTTTTACATGGAGAATTTTCACAGTTTTTTCCCTTTGTTACAGGGAGAAGGCATTTTCTTAACTCTTAAGTAAAGGTACATGCTGGAGGGACAATGTCCTTCACACGCATGCTCACTCATACAGAGTTTTAAATAAATATTGGAAACACTCAGGTTAATCTACGTGTCAGCCTAGTTTAATGTAGGATGATCAAGAAACTGGTCATTTCCTATTACAAATGATGCAGTTTGCCTCTGAGTGGGACCATGGTGATGTTAAACACAGCACAGAATATGTCAGGGATTCCATCTGAGAAACAAATGCAGGATCCAGCTTTCTGCTTTTATTTGTCTTGTAGGTGTTGCTCATTCATTTTTCAAAGTGTATTTGTTGTGATATCATGAGCATGCCCAGTGGCAGAAGATAAAGAAAGGCAAAATCAAAGTGACATTGAGTAACTCTACACATTAAGCTTTGATGCAGAAACATATTGTTTGAAAATATTTGGTGTGCAGCAGGTCTGTCAATTAGAGCTAATTATTTTTCTCTGATCAGGAAGAATGCAATCTTGTTTTAGGCAGGTTTCTTTGAAATGCACGTCTTTTATATAACTTCATTATAGGGAAATACTTCTTCCAAATTACTTTTTTTCTGGGCTGCTTAGCTATTGACTCAAATTGTCTGTGTTGAGTAGTTCTCTCTGCTTTGATAATTAACTTTTGATCATTACTGAATTTAGCAGCTCGAGTCAGATGTGTTCATAGCCATCCTCCTCAACTACTTCAGTGTTCATCGCCTTTAATCTTTGAACAAAATGATCTCATTGAGCCTCCATCAGCCTCGCTACTCAGTTAATAATTCCTGTTTCTCATCTTCATGGCTGAGTTTGATTTGGTTTAGACTTGATGCAAGCTTTTGATTATTAATTTAAGATATTTCAAAGACAAACATGTTTTAAGAGTTATTTTTTTATCTTATATTCCTAGGCTTTTACAAATAAGAAACTGGTTTTAACTCCACAACGATTCCTAAACTTCACGTATTAAAAGTACTGTCTAGAATCGAAGCAGGTAGGAGGTCCCTAAACCACGATGCATGTGCTCTGAGTGGGAGATGAGGCTGCCAAAGATTGGCATGAAATTGGACTGGTATAATGTAATATTCAATGGGTGTTAGGAGAATTACATCATGGGACCTTAGCTAATTTTGAGCTCGAAAACATGCATTAAAATAATTTAGGATGATTAGAAAATGGAAGCTAGAGTGAACTAGACAATCATTTCACTTTAATTTGTAATTTCCTTCTGATTTTTTTTTTTACATTTATGGCTTTTCCATAATTGTGCCTCTGCTCTCCAAGACCTTATTTCAACAGCTGACTCTAGTGTTGAATAAGAAGAAAGAAGATGAAGAATACATGAAAAGCAATAAGATACAGAGGATCATCCCTCAGAAAGTACTTGCTCAGGGATGTTTTCCCATGACTTTTATAACTGTGAATGACTCCTATCTCTTCTGCTGCATTACACCTGATTTTGGTGCTGGTTGTTTCAGCATTAGTTCAAGAACCACCTGCACTGTGCTTTACTTGATCCGCAGTGTGGATTATTATCCGCTAACTTATTTCGTTAGCACATATTTAACCATTACACAAAAGATTAAACATGGGAATAAGCACAAACTGCTTCTAGATTGAGCACAAGGACTGCAAAATTTGAAAAATGATGCTTTTCTTTGTCACTATCAATTACTGGACTGGCTTTTCAATAGAAAGAGCCAGAAAAAGTGGTCTAGTCAGTACAATTTTTCCATATCACGAAGACCTATGGAGAATGAACTGACAAGAGTCTGACTCAAAAATATCAAAGCAAAATAACTGGCATCTGCAGAAGGCAAATCAGATTTTGGTCAAGTGTTACAGGGGAAGTGACTGCTATCCAAAGAAAATATTTATTTTCCATTGCATAACTGAAAATACAGGATTTTCAGGGAAAAGCGTTTGATTCCGAGGAAGTGAGATTAGACAAAAAACATTCTTTAAGAATGCCTCCTCAACCTCTTTCTTCAGAAGCACTGATCAGCCACCTAGGGCAGGAATTGCTGAGCCTCAAAATGTCTCTTAGTGTAAGACAGATGGCACTTCATGTCAATGAACATGTTGGCAGAAGAAAGAAGGCCGCCATGCTTTAGCTTTTTCCATGAGCTGCTGCAAATATAACTTTGGTTAATCTCCCACTTTCTAACCAGCTCTGTGTGTTTGAGTGAATACATAAGTGGCTCACCACAACTGAGCTTATAACCCACCATGCTGTTCTCCTGTCCTGTAGGTATAGAAGAGACTCCCTGGAGACCTAATTCAACAATCTAACAAAAAATAAGAGAAACTTTCCATATATGTTGAGTGATATGTATAGTTTTATGCATGTATGTATGTATGTATGT